GTTTCCAAGAAGTGAAATCAGGCTAGTGAAAAAGTCCACAAGGGAGAAAAATCTTGCTGCATGTGGACAATACTGAAGGGCCTATATTGCATTTTCTGATCTCTGTTATAATACGCAAATACAGAAACATGCCCACGGGACTATAAACCGGGACGAGGGGGCTTTTTTACTCTCACACACCTGGGATACTGTCCTGAGGAAGTTGGACTGCAGATGGTGCTGTTGTCATTCCTCCACCGGTAGGAAGACAGCGCCAAAACCTGTTTAAATCAGCTGACCGGACACGTCAAAGCAACATCACGTGACCACTCTGAGGAAGACCGCTAGTGAGCATTCGAAACTCTTGGTCTGAAAAATGAACCTGATAACATAAATTATCGGAAGACCAAATGAACCTCACTGGACTATGTTGTAATGTTGATTCCTCACCACAAACATACCTGGAGTTGTTTTGTTTTATTCACACGTTTAACTCACAAATCCTGCAAATTTAGGCTGTGTTCTTCTCTCAAACAGAAAACACTCTGTTCCACCTTGTGTACTGAGTCTTTAAACTCCATACAGCTTCACTAGAATCATTTGGATAATTTCAGCCGTGGAATTGCATATCGCCACTGAACTAAATGTAAAAGGAGCTGTTAACTTAAACTACTGCTTCATGGCATCACATTTTGTAACAGAGCATTTTGAGCTTTGCAGATGTAGACAAATACAATAATAAATGGTTTCTTAAACACGTGTGAATGAAACAAAACACTACTCTGAGTATATTTTATGATGAACGATATAACAAGCCCACATGAGTGACTTTTGCTTAAAATAGGACCTTTTAAATGATTTAAATTGTCCAGGCAGGTTTTCCAAATTATATTTTTTTTCCTCTTGAGTAATGTTTAATCTTCTTTGTACTTCTACTTGAATCATTGCGTTTTGGAATTAATAACTACTCCGTCTTATGGGAGTGATCGACCCTTGCTAAGATAATATTCCAATCTTGCAATGGTGCCCAAGATACTGACCCCAGCCAAACAGTCCAAAACTAAATGTAATTGAAGATAATTAGGTTGGGCATCTGGTTTAAAACGCTGTTCTAAGCCAGTATGCAAATCACTGGTACAAGAGAAAAGCTAAAAATATACAGAAACGGTGATAAAATTGCGTTGGTAACAAGTATTAAATCTTGTTTCTTGACCTGCCGCAACTAATTTGAAAATTCTTCCTGAAATAAAGCATTCTTTTCCTGTAAATAATAACCAATAGAGCCACTGTATCAGGTTTGAAGTCATATTTTATTTAGTGCTGCCAGGGCTGTCAAGGCATTTTATTAAAAGAACAGTTTACTCACAAGGATATTGCTTTGATCAAATATAGTCGTTCCCATCACAGTCTAATGTCTTCAAGCTACTGACGTGCTGCATGTATTAAAGAAGTGAAGGCAGCAATAGCACCTCAAACACAGAATTCAACTCATAATCAGGCCCTAGACGCAAATAAAGCAAAAACAGAACCAGGGACTTCCATATGCATTTCTTTAATGAGGTGAAATTTATAAGATGCAAATTATGAAATGGAAAATAATGGAAAATTGCCCTAGTAAAACCATGTATTTTCTGTTTGAATTATTATTGAATTATATTAGAGAATCAGCTAAGACAAGTGTATATTTTTGGAGTTCTGGGGTATCTACCTTTTATTTATTTATTTATTTTGCTTTCTACCATGTTATATCGTAGCCTGATTCATCAGCCAGTTTCACTTCGTAGAAACCGTCTGACATCGTTGGAATAAGATTCGTTCACTCGACAGTAGGAGGGAACTTTTTTTTATTTAACCTATTGGTCATGACGTATGTAATGCACCACTAACAGGGCTAACTGGTATATTAAGCTTTTCTTAAATCCCGTAGGAAGAAGGGCAATAACATCCTTTCCCTTGATAAAATTTGCCAAACATTGTCTTTGTTCCGGCTTTAAATCCTCGATCTCGGGAATCGTTGCCAACACAGAATGTATGACTCTTCGCTGATTGGCTGGTGCCCGAACTTGCATTTTCCGGGGTTCTTGTAAACCGTCTATCTAGGTGGTGATAGCCTGTCTAGTTATATTGTTGTTCCCTCATCAAAAACATGCCTGAAGAGGTTTTAGATTTCATCCATGAATGTTTCAGTAATTTAGTGATCTCTCCCCAGGCCCTATTCGAACTCTCCTTAAGATTCTGTGCAATGCTCAGTCCAAATGCATGATACAAAACTGCAACTTGTAAAAACCTCGAACAATGAGCTGTCGTTTAATTAGTGGGAAGCACACTGATTGTTTTACGATAGCGCTCTGAAGGGGGAGTGAAAAGGAGACTCAGAGCATCAAAAATAAAAGTGAAACTTATTAAAATTTGAATACATTGTGCTCTGCAAATATAGCTTTCCCAAAACAACAAAAGGTAACATGGTGATCTAAATAAATTCTGTGTTAGCAGTTAATACCTCATAGAAGTAAAATACCCAATCTTACCCCCATTTCTTCTTTGGTTCATAATTGACATTACCTTACATAAGTGTATTTTTCCTGTACACTCCACTCCTGCTAAAATCACATATCTCAAATTGCATCATGAGCCCTGTATGACACCACTAGACACTATGGCAAAGGTCTGTATCAAATCTGCAGCCATCTTTGCGTTGTAATATTGATTTGGTTGGCAACTTCAAATTCCCACCAGCTTTGCCCGCGCCGCATTTGACCTTTTGTAACCCAGCCGTCCCACAGTGCAATAAACCAAGGCCGCATTAAAGGCAGTGCAGCTTGGCTAACGTGGCGAACGTGTGGCGCACTGCAGTGTTGTGTGCAGTGGATCATGACTGATAGTAGATTATATAGAGAGCGCAATCGTTAAAGCTGATTTAACCTTAATATTATGATATGGGGTTTAATAGGGATAATCTCATCAGAATATATTGTACACGCTTCCTACTTATCATAGGACAAGGGGCTGTAATATTTTATACGCTATATATTTTTTTCTTGACATTTTTTTTTCACACATGCTTAGAGCTAATGACAGCCAATGTTAACACCACATAAATCTCATTGGTATCGGGGTTAGCCATTAATTTCAGGGCACAGTGTAAGTGTTGATGTCTTGCATTAACTCATTCTGGTTGCACTCTTTAATTGTCTAAAATATGTATGGTTTTCCAAAATAGTTTGAGATTAAAGATCCTTTTGTAAAATTGATTCTTGTGATTTTTAAACCATGTTATAATGTTGTTACCTCATCAAAAACATATCTGGAGTTGTGTTTTGTTTCTTTCACACATGTTTGTGTAACCCTTTTATTTTTGGGCTGTTTAAATCCTCTTTAAAGCTCAAAATGCTTTGATCCACCTTGTGATGTCATGAAGCGGTAGTTTTCAAGTTGACAGCTTTTGTTTATGTTTTGTTTAGTTCAGATTGGCAATAACACGTCTGAAATTAGCCAAATCATTCTAGTGAAGGTGCTTAGAGTTTAAAAATACACTGGAGCACGTCCTGTATTTCCACATGACACGAAGGTAGGAAAGAGTGTTTTGAGAAAAGAACTTATGTTTTAAATGTGTGCAAATGAACCAAAACAGCTACAGGTATGTCTGTGATGAGGAAACATAGATAGATTATAGATCAGAAAAAAATATTCTTTTCATAAATGGGCCCTTTAAACTCAAACTATAATGTTCCTGGACGGATGTTGGATTCCTGAATGTAGGAAACACACAGTTCTATTTCTGTTTGTTTGTTGATCCTATATTACAATAGGGTCAACACACAGCAAGAATGTTCTGGGTTCGATCCCTGGGTCACGTCGGTCTTTTCTGTATGGAGTTTGCATGTTCTTTCCGTGTCTGGGTGGGTTTCCTCCAGGCATTCCAGTTTTCCTCATCAACCCAAAACATGCACCATAGGTTAAATCCTCCAGCTAAGGTAGTCCTGGTCCAGACAGCAACAAGATCACGGAGATGGGTCCCCGGGTGCCCCATGTGCTTCCCACTGCTCCTGAAAGGATGGGTGAAATGCAGAGGAGAATTTCCCTACAGGGATAATAAAAAGTCCCACAAAGAAAAGAAAAAAAAGTCAAATGGTTGTTGCTTTATTGGCCCTTTGTGGCTTGAGTTGAGTGCCTTTCACTAGGGCTCAGTACATTTTTAAAACTTTTTTTTTAAGTACTTGAGCAACACCTCTGAGGGATTGCACAGACAAGTACAATGTCAATAAATTCTACTAAAAAAAAAAAAATACTTTGAAGAAAACTAATTATAAACCCAGCCCTACCTTGCACACTATTTTGTAAATGACTAACACATTTTGAAATTCTGCTCTCCCTCATGCAATCATTTACAGTTTATTTTAGTCAGATTCTAACTTGCTTTATCTCTGCGGTGATGTCATTCTTGCCTGATTTCTGATTAGACATTTTAATTGTGTGGATTTTTTGGGGGGGAGGAGGGGGGTTTGCACATAGTTTTGCAGGTGCTAAATCTCAAACTGTGACGTTGTGGCTTGTGCCTGTAGGAAGAGGAAGACCGCTGTGATTCATATGTCAATTACTGTCTGTTAAAAAACCGACCAGGGTTTTTAGGCGCGTTGATTTTAATGCATTCACAGCTATAGCTTCTTGCACTTGCTTCTCACGGCTCTGTGGGGGTGATTTGTGTCTTAGGTGGGGGAGTTAACACTTGGATGAGCAAAACAACAACAGAAGATCCCAAAATACACTCAACGGTGCGCCTGATCACACCCAGTATGAGCCCGTGGATGACTGGAGATTGAGCAACTTGCTTAGTGTCACTTGACGGCAACGTGCGGCCCACAAAGCCATAAGGACTGATAATAAAGCCACCGCGCCGCCATCTGTCGTGTTGTTCTTACTGGAAAATATGCACTATTGTTCTCATAAAAAGCATGATTCATTGTGAACCCTAACACCGGAATTATCTTTTAAAATGTTGTTTTTATTTTGTGTCATTGCAGATTTGAGGCAGCATCTGGCATTGGTTTTGGCGGTCTGGTGGGATAAGTGAGCATTGCCAGAGGAAGGAGGGAATCGTTGGAATCACAGGCGTTTGCCAAACAAAAGGACTCGCGGACTGAACTCTACTGGGACGTCGGGCAGCGGGCGGTAAGAGGAGGAGGCCATGTGGACCGCACGGCTGCTAGTCTTCGCCAGCCTCTTCGCTCCGGCCGCTCTGGGTGAGTCTGCCATTCACTGTCTGTTGTTTCAGTTGCACAAACAGCAATATATTTTCTATTTAGTACCAGCAAATTACAGTTGAGGTACCATGCATACACTTTTGGTTTAATCTTTTCAGGATGTTATTAGACCTATAAGCAATTTACAAAACAATCTTACCATTTTATATATAAGTTGGTATTTAGTTTATGAAAGGTGCACTGCGCAAATTTTCTGGTGGAGCTTCTGCTACTTTTTTGTCTCCATGGAGATGTTATTGCTTTGCCTGGAATGTCCCATGGCATGACATTAAACATACACATCTAGCACACATCATTACGGGTGTTTCTATTGCGCAAAAATAAAATAATTCCTTCTGTGAATAGGGGCAGCTCTCCACAGACCTGATTTGTAAAGTAGTGTCATGCTGTAACCTGCTTATCTCCTTTGTGATAGACCTGTGGAGCATTCTAGACAAAGCAATAACATTTTCATGGAGATAAGCAGGTGGTGCACCCTCTACTAGAAATGTTACGCAGTTCATCTTTAAGTTATTTAGTAGTATATTCTTTATTTATCAGGGAGCATGTACAAACTCATTAAAGGAGAACTACCTTTTTGTTACTTTTTTATTAAACAGTGTATATGGTGTAGACCAGGGGTGTCAAACTCAAATTCACAAATTTATTCACAAATTAAAACCTGGGACTAAGTTATAGGCCAAACTAAATATTTGCTGAAAAATTTCAACGACATCTGCATGTTTTCACTTATTTTGAGATATGTAATATTAAACCTTTTCTTATTAAAACAAATGTTTAATAATAGTTTTGCATAAACATTCAATCCAGAACAGGCAAAATATGAAATAATAACAAAATTTTAAATAATGTCTTTGTAGCCTATCTGTAGCCGGCGGGCCAGCTCTAATACCCATTTGACATGATCTTGTGGGCAAAATATAATTGTATCGCGTGCCAAATTTGGCCCCCGGGCCTGAGTTTGACATGTCTAGTGCAGAACATTGTTTCCCAAAGACTGCGTTGCAACCCTCAAGTGGTTTGAAGAGATTTTTTAGAGATCTGTTGACTTGGGTTGCGAAGATTGTGACTTTTAAAATATGGGTCCCCAGAAAAAAAGTTAGGAAAAATTGGGATAGACTAATCACCCTGTTCCTTATAGGCCCAGACTCCTCCCTCTTCTCACTTTTCTTTAGTCCTCCATGTACTGCCCAGTTTAACAGCTCTATTTAAAATGTGATTGTGTGATTGAGTTGAGCTGTTTAGTCCCTGTTTAAACTTACAAAAGAAAGCAAGTGGACACAAGAATAACATACACACACATTACATTACAATTACATTCTTATACTTAACTTAGCTCAGTATAATCATTCACTCAGTAAGATACACATTACACCATTACACTGTTCTTTTTCTTGTGGTGAGTTACCTTTACAAAAACAGAAATGCAAGAGAGCTACCAGTTTTAAAGGTTGCAAGAAATTATGCAGCTAAGTATTACAGTATAATGATACAATGGTTATAGGAATCTGATTAACAACATTTTTATTATTCAGGAGCATATGTATAATTTAGAAATCCCTTGGAGAGCTACTTGGAAAGAGGTGGAGAACTACAGGTTGGAGACTCCTGCATTACAAAATGAGATGTCACAATTTCAGATATTATATGGTTTCCTAAAGAATACCTGCAACTTTATACAGATATTGCAAATATTAATATGCTAGTTTCTACACGGAATATTACTAGTGCAGTTTAACTTGGCTGATGTTGACCCAGAAAACAAAATACCAACAATAAATAAATGAAACTCTATGTAGATAATTTTTTCAGTAAAGTGTACGAAGGGCATTTTGATCAAGGTAATATTTTTGTTTACTATAACGAGACTTTTGGAATTTTTGGTTTTTATATGTCTAATGTGGGTTTTCCATGATAATTTACTATCTGTTATAACTCCCAGGAATTTATTTTCAGTTACATTTTCTATTTGGACACCTTCAGTCATAATTTGTTGGTTTTACTCAAGTTTAATGACAATTTATTCATATCCATCCACTTTTTAATTTTGTTTAGCTCCTCATTTAGAGTACTTATGAGTTCATTATAATTGTGACTACTATAAAATATGTTGGTGTCATCTGCAAAGAGTATAAATTTTAGGGATTGAGATAAATATATAATTTATGTATATATTGAACAGTTTTGGTCCCAAAACAGACCTTTGGGGGACGCCACAAGCAATGTCAAGGTTTCTCATTTGAACATATTGCACCCTTTCTGTAAGATCACTTTTCAACCAGTTCCAAGCTACCCCCCTAATACCATATTGTTCGAGTTTATGTAGTAATATTGAGTGATTGATAGTATCAAAGGCTTTCTTAAGGTCAATAAAAATACCAGCAGCATATGTATTGTCATCTAGTGCATTTGTGATTCCCTCTATTGCATTGATTACTACCATTGAGGTGGTCCTTTGTGTCCTAAACTCATATTGTCCTTCGTTAATAATTTGATATTAAGCTCAAAATACTTTCTAAATAGCACTGAAGTTCCAGTAGCAGCATCGCAAAATCTGCATAATCCAAAATTCCTTATTCTTTCCAAATTTTCTATTCTTTACACATATGTTTTTTGCTAATTAGCACAAGCACAACTACTAATCTCCGCATTTTCCACCTGCTTTTGTAGCCACAATGCCGAACTTTGCAATTTCAACAAGCTGGTTTTGATTCATAACTCCTCTTCCATCCTATATAAGTGTCAGATTCTGTCAGATCAACTGTGATGAAAAGCAGGATGGTGTCTGTCTTGTTCTTACTGTCTGTCTTCTCACTAATTAGCAGCTTTTTATTCTCTGAACTCCCCCCAAAACTTCTGACTTCCTTTTTCTCTCATTTTCCGTCTATTTTTAGTTCAGTCCCTCTTTCCCTTCTGGAAAATCTTCCCAAAGAATCATTAACACTGTTTCTGTGTTGTCATGTGTTTTTCTCAATAGCATTATTACACATAGGACTTTTTTTATGGTCTGTTGTTTCACACATTAAGATCTTAAGATTAATTTGCTGAGACCTTTGTCGCTCACATCACAGTAACTAGCTGTGTTTCCGGTGGAATGTGGAGTGGCGAAGTAATGAAGCCATTTAAATTCAGATTAAAAACAAGGCAGCGTTGTAGTGGGTGTGTGGTTTGTATGGTCTTAGCTGGTCACAATTAACAGGGGTTTAGATGCAAGGAGTGTTGGGAGTGGCACAATGGCCCATAAAAATGTTAATTTGATATGGCTAAAATCATTAATGGGAGTTCTGAAGCTAATTGAATTGTTTGTGTGCTGTAATATCAACGCAAAGTACAGATGGCAAGGTTCACAATAGCACCGTTAAGAAAGCACACTCGAGTATGGTTTGTCTCGCCTTACAGCTCAACAGGGAAGTACAATGCTGTCTTCTAACTTTTAAAGAGGCTATAAAATCAAGATGAACATTGTGAGAATGAAGAAACTGGGAAAAAGATTGAAATAAAGAAAATATATACATACATAAACAAATAAATTCTTATTTTTTGGCTAAAATGTTAGATACTGTGGCTTTAACTATGAAAACAATGCATTATTGAAATAAAGAAAATAAATACATTTAAGTTAAAATCATAAAAAAACTTAAAACCATACTTTGGAACATTTTCAGGTTTGTGATTTGAGATGAAAGCAAGGAAAAAATGCAAAAATAGAAACAAAAAACATATACTTGTATTCTATTTTTTTGGGTAAAAACAGTGCATAAGTCAATTTATAATATTATTTTTAATACTAATACTACTAATACTAATACTAATACTAATACTACTAATACTACTACTAATGCTACTAATGATAACAATAACAATAATAACTATAACGATAATAATGATAACAATAATAAATGCATACATAAATAAATACATACATAAATAATGGTAATTTTAAATAAATAATATAAATTTGATTTATTAGGTGCCTTTCTGAACACTCAAGGTCACCTTACAATAACATAAACAAATTAAAAATACTATTAAAACATGCATATAGTTAAAGTGGGACAGTATTTTAAGTGGTTGATTGTATTTAATTTAATTTAATTGACCTCCATTAGCTGTCAGCTATTCTTCCTGGAGACCTGTGTAGCATGTTTTGGGCTGATGGAGAAATCTAATTAGTTTTAGATTGCGACCGCTGTATACGGTTCATCGTGAAGCTCTGGGGTCACGTAAAGACAATTTTCTGCCATGGCAACATCTACATTTAGCTGCTGCTGCCAATTTCTCTTTAGGCTCCATATTCTGTCTGTCAAACTCAGCGTTATTGTTTACAGACACTGAAAGGGTCAATTGGGTATTATTGGAAGTCATTATTTTAACCTTTGACCTCGCCCTTGATGAGAATTGAAGCTGAAGTGCTCTGTCAGTCATGAAGCATATCTCTTTATTGCTGTCTATATTTACACAGCACACTTTTGGGATTTTTGGCTTGTGATTACATAGGTTAAATAAAGTCTGCTCCTAAATGAAAATCTATTGTCCACAAAAGCTTTTGGAAGAAGACGGCGTGTCCGAGATTGACGCCGCAGCATATTGATATCCCATTGGCTGGACAAACACAGTCTCGGCCAATTACAAAGTGTCACCGGGCGGGATTGATAAAACCACATATAGACGCTTTAGACTGAAAAATGTGTTGGCGACGTGCACGGGAACACCAAGTCGGTTTATTTAAAGCCAAAAGGTTGTCTTTGGCAGTTTTAACTCATTTACCACCATCGTCATGGATTCACATTAGCAAACTCCATTTTTCTGCATAATGTTTAGACTGATGAGGGTGCTTTCCTGTCTGTAATGCCATCATTGCATCCGCTTACATCCACGTCGTATGGTAAAGTAGTGGAAAATAGATCGGTCACTGTACGAAAAATACATTTGGAGAGGGAGGAATGTGTGGTTTGTGGTTAATGAGGCGACGCATGTAA